CCAGCATGCCCTGATTATTTTTAATCAATATGGAAGGATATCGGGTTACAGATTAAATATGCACAAGAATGAACTGCTGAGAATTAACTCAAAAGCAAACAATATCTCATTGGCAAACTTAAATGTTAAGATAAAATCCAACTACTTGACTTATCTAGGTGTCAAGGTAACCCGAGAATATAAATAACTTAATGAGGAAAGTTTCATGTTAATACTAGATAATATAAAAAAAAGATTTGCATCGGTGGAACACCCAGCTGCTCTCATTAATCGGCTATGTTAACTCTGTAAAAATGAACATACTGCCAAGGATCCTTTATCTCTTTCAATGCATTCCATTATATTTACCCAAAAAATTCTTTGTGGATCTTGATAGAATCATCTCAGCGTTTGTCTGGAATGGTGGACCTGTGCGGATCCGTAAGGAATTCATGCAAAGATCGAGACCTTCAGGTGGTCTTGCTCTTCCAAATTTTCAACTTTATTACTGGGCGACAAACATACGTAACACTCCTCACTGGTTGGAAAACTCATCTTTTAACACCACCTCATGGGTCCATATTGAGTCATCCAGTTGCGGGAAAACCTCCCTACCAGCATTGTTGAGTTCAGTGCTGCCTTTAGACTTACATCGATGTAAAAGTAATCCTGTTGTCTGTGATTCTCTCCGAAAATGGGTACAGTGTAGAACTTTGGCCTACACATAATGTCGGGGAATGCTCCAGTGTATTCCAACCATATGTTTCCACCTTCTGTGATTGACTCTGCCTTTAAAATTTGGAGCGACAGAGGACTACGAACAGTGAATGATCTCTTTATTGATGAAATCTTTACTTATTTCTCACAGTTACACAACCGCTATAATATCCCACGGGCACATTTTTTCCGATACCTACAAATTCATCATTTCATTAATAATAGATATCCCTCATGCTCAAATAAACCACAGAGGACAACCATGGATATAATTCTAGTTGTTGATGTTCTGAGAAAAGGTCCCGTAAGAGTGATTTATTATTTATTTTTGGAATTGCAGTCAAAATCTCTTTCAGTAATAAAATCGCACTGGGAAAAGGATTTAACGTTGGAATTAAGTGATCACCTCTGGGAAACTATACTTCTAAGGGTACACTCCTCTTCTGTCTTCTAGACATGGACTTATCCAATTTAAGATTCTACATCGGTTACATTTCTCAAAAGAAAAACTTGCAAAGATCTACCCAGGAGCCGACCCGATGTGCAGTCACAGTAAATCCAATGTTGGATCACTTATTCACACATTTTGGCAATGCCCTAAACTTACCCAATACTGGGATTTAATGTTTCAGACACTCTCAGAAGCATTTAAAGTTAAACTCAGCCCAAACGCTCTGACGGCACTGTTCGGAGTGTTGCCACCCAATATCTCTACTTCGAAATATTTCTCCTAGTTAGTGGCCTTTGCATCCCTGCTGGCAAGACGTCTCATTCTTCTGAAGTGGAAACAAGAGGCCCCTCCCTCCCATAGTCAATGGATTGCAGATCGTATGAGGTATCTGCATCTCGAAAAAATTAGGTGTACCCTTTCAGGATCAACTATTAAATTCATTAAAATATGGCAGCTGTTTCTAAAATACATGGAAACCTTCAAGCTACCTAGTAATCCCTAACATGAACAGGTCATCGTCGTCTCGTCGTCTTCCTCCGCTTATCCGGGTCCGGGTCGCGGGGGCAGCATCCCAACTAGGGAGCTCCAGACCGTCCTCTCCCCGGCCTTCTCCACCAGCTCCTCCGGCAGGACCCCAAGGCATTCCTGGACCAGATTGGAGATGTAACCTCTCCAACGAGTCCTGGGTCGACCCGGGGGCCTCCTGCCGGCAGGACATGCCCGAAACACCTCCCCAGGGAGGCATCCAGGAGGCATCCTGACCATATGCCCAAACCACCTCAACTGGCTCCTTTCGATCCGGAGGAGCAGCGGTTCTACTCCGAGTCCCTCCCGAATGTCTGAGCTCCTCACCCTATCTCTAAGGCTGAGCCCGGCCACCCTACGGAGGAAACTCATTTCGGCCGCTTGTATCCGTGATCTCGTTCTTTCGGTCATTACCCAAAGCTCATGACCATAGTTGAGGATTGGGATGTAGATCGACCGGTAAATCGAGAGCCTGGCTTTCTGGCTCAGCTCCCTCTTCACCACGACAGATCGGCTCAGCGTCCGCATCACTGCAGACGCCGAACCAATCCGCCTGTCGATCCCCTGATCCCTCCTACCCTCACTCGTGAACAAGACCCCGAGATACTTAAACTCCTCCACTTGAGGTAGGACCTCAGTTCAGTTCAGTTCATTTATTTATAAAGCACTTTAAAACACCCAGCACAGGAACAAAGTGCTGTACAGAAAATACATTAAAACAATAGAATAAACAGAAAGCAGCAAAGAGAAATAAATAAAACACAGGAGACATAAAATTAAAACAGCCCAATAATAAGAATAAAAACTCCCCCGACCCAGATTTGGCAAGCCACCCTTTTCCGGTCGAAAACCATGGTCTCAGATTTGTAGGTGCTGATCCTCATCCCAGCCGCTTCAAACTTGGCCGCGAACCTACCCAGCAAGAGCTGAAGGTCAGAGCTGGATGAAGCTAGGAGGACTACATCATCCGCAAAAAGCAGAGACGAGAAGATTCTCCTGCCACCAAACTCGACACACTCCACACCACGGCTGCGCCTAGAAATTCTGTCCATAAAGGTAATGAACAGAACCGGTGACAAAGGGCAGCCCTGGCTGAGTCCAACCCTCACTGGGAACAGGTCCGACTTACTACCGGCTATACGGACCAAACTCATGCTCCTCTGGTAAAGGGACTGAATGGCCCTTAACAGAAAGCCACCCACCCCATACTCCTGGAGCGTCCCCCACAGGGTGCCCCTGGGGACACGGTCATAAGCCTTCTCCAAATCCACAAAACACATGTGGATTGGTTGGGCAAACTCCAGTGCCCCCTCCATCACCCTTGCAAGGGTATGGAGCTGGTCCACAGTTCCACGGCCAGGACGAAAATCACATTGCTCCTCCTCAATCTGAGATTCAACTATCGATCGGACCCTCCTCTCCAGTACCTTGGAGTAGACCTTTCCAGGGAGGCTGAGGAGTGTGATCCCCCTGTAGTTGGAAAACACCCTCAGGTCACCCTTCTTAAAGATGGGGACCACCACCCCAGTCTGCCACTCCACAGGAACTGCCCCAGATGACCACACAATGTTGCAGAGACGTGTCAACCACGACAGCCCTATAACATCCATAGCCTTGAGATACCCAGGATGAACCTCATCCGCCCCCGGGGCTCCGCCGCTGTGTCATCATCTACTGGGCCTTTCTATGATGGAGGTCAGCAGCTTCTGCCCCCAAGATTGGACAGTCCATCCCCAGGTCTCCCGGCTCTGGTTCCTCCTCGGAATACGCATAGGTGGGATTGAGGAGCTCCTCAAAGTATTCCTTCCACCGTCTGACTATAGCTCAGTTGACGTCAGCAACTCCCCATCCCCTCTGTAAACAGTGTGAGCGAGTTGCTGCCTTCCTCTCCTGAGGCGCCGGACAGTTTGCCAGAACCTCTTTGGAGCCAATCGATAGTCTTTCTCCATGGCCTCACCAAACTCCTCCCACGCCCGAGATTTTGCCTCAGCAACTGCCACTGCTGCACCCTGCTTGGCTATCCTGTACCTGTCTGCTGCCTCCGGAGACCCACAGACCAGCCACACCCTGTAGGCCTCTGTCTTCAGCCTGACGACTCCCCGAACCTCTGGTGTCCACCAGCGGGTACGAGGGTTGCCACCACGACTGGCACCGGCCACCTTGTGACCACAGCTAGCAACAGCCACCTCAACAATCGCAGAGTGGAACAAAGCCCACGAACAGGTCAAACGTAAAATATTAATAGCCTAACAGTGATAACGCTCACCACTTATGATCATTATTAGAATTCATTAATATTACTTGTGCACGGATTTGTAACCTTCTTTAATTTATTATTTGTTTTGTCCTTGTTCCGTTTATTTAATTAAATTTAACTTTATTTATTTATTTATTCATTCATTCATTCATTCATTCATTCATTCATTCATTCATTCATTCATTCATTCATTTCTCTCTCTCTCTCTTTCTTTTCTTGCTTAAATGGGGATTTCATATTTTTTGTTTATTATTTGTTTACAATTACTGCTGTGAACAATCACTGGGGTAAAAGACAAAAAGGCTGCCAATTATGTATACTGGTCATGTGGTGATATGTAATTCACTCTCTGAAAATCATAAATAAAGTTTTAAAAAAAATGGTTTTTCATTCCCAACCCTAGATGTCTGGGTCAAAAGATTACTTCCAGGAAGTCCTGGAGGTTACGTAACTTCCGGTAAGTAGTAGAGCTCCTTGCGATACCTTGCTGCAGCTGGGTGACTCACTCTGAGAGACTAGGTGTTGGTGTTTACAGTGTAGGGAAGGTGGGAATCTGATTCAAGACTACCTACACTTGGGTAGGACTTGGATCTGAGAGATGGTGACTTCACCACGTGCACACCCTAACCCTAAACCTACACGCATGCATACACACACAGGTCAGGTTTTTCATTGAAATTTTAACATGTGGCTTGGTCTTTTAAATCTTCTAAGCCTGTGTGTTTGGTCAACTAACCCTAACCTTTCCACAAAAATAAACAACCAATGATGAACAAGAGTCTGCTTCTAGACCTGCAGAAAGAGAAAAACAACACAACAATACAACTAGAGCAACCTATCACTGTGTCAGCCTGATGAGGAAATATAAAATCAACATTGTTTAACTGAACAATCACACAATAATAAATCACACACTTGTATATGTAAGGTTTCTCTATAGGAGTGTCCAATAGTGAGTGAGAGGGGCCACAGATCTACCACCAAAGATGTGTAGGAGATGGAGGAGCCCCAAGCCCCAGAGATCCAAGGGTTGATTATTTTTTCCTATATAGTGTTTTTCCTGTGTTTCAGGGAAAGCCATATGCGTTTGACAGGGTTCTTCCTCCAAACACTGAACAGGTTCAGGTATACGACACCTGTGCAAAACAGATCATCAAAGGTGAGCTCATTTGATTCAGAGTATCTGTGAAACAGCTTGATCCAGAACCCCCACCCCACCCCCCCACCCCGTCTACACATGACGGAATATTGTAACAAGCAGGAAAGATGTCTGACACTGATTTACTGGATGTGTTTGCTGTGTGAAATGTACTGTTGTGCTGTTTTCTTGTTTGGTTGCTTTTTGTTAATGTTCGTGTTTCTCTGGTTTTAGATGTGCTAGGAGGATACAATGGCACCATCTTTGCTTACGGTCAGACATCATCAGGAAAGACTCACACCATGGAGGTCAGTGTGATGTTGAGTAAGCAGTGAATGTGTTTCTATGTGTTTGTAATGTTGTGTTATTGTTAAGGGGAAACTTCATGACCCTCATCTGATGGGAATCATTCCTCGAATTGCCAGCGACATCTTTGACCACATCTACTCCATGGACGAGAACCTGGAGTTCCACATAAAGGTGATGATCAGAATCAGAAGCTTTTATTGTCATTGCATAAGAATGCAATGAAATTAAAGGCATTCAATAGTGTGTTTGGCATAGAAATAAAGGAAACATTATATATAAGATAGGACTTTTTTTGATCCCATAGTAGGGAACTTTTTGCAATTATCACAGCTCAGGACAGATAGCAAAAGAGTACAAAATGATCAAGAATAATTAACTAAATAACTAAGAGAAGACACTATATACAACAGTAGTTCCTATATAGACACATTGTGATGGGTTCCTTGTCAAATCGGTAATAAAAACTCCATGATGAGTCATTTTCTGAGTATGAGTAACATTCGTTTTAATGAGTTCCTTGTTACAGAGTGGGTACCGCTTTATCGCGGCTCTCAGACACACCTGTTGTCCTCTCCTCCTCTTCTATCTGCTGCATGTGATCCCCACACGGCCCCTCCCACCGGGCCTTTCCGGTTGCTCTCTACCTGAGCACCACACCTCAACAAATATCGTCATTCCCCAATACAAACACATTCTTACTACACACAAAACCCCCTCTCAAGAAAAGAAAAACACTTAGACATCAAACACACGTATGTATGATTTTACTGGTAAATTAGTCTTTGAATCAGAAGATTCTAGGATTCTTTGCTTTTTCAGGGATCAAACACACTTCGTTTCAATTCAGACAGAGTCAGGTTTATAAAAGTTAAGAAATGGATTTTCTAAACAAATTAAAACAAGACGTTAACTAAGATGACTGTGATGGATGGATCTAAGTGGATGGGATGTGATGTATGGTGTTTGAATTGTGTGTGTTTATCAGAACCTTTTATCTAGAATAACTGAGTTCTGGGTGTAAAAAGAATTTGGTTTGCATTAAACTATGAAGTTGGTTCTTATCAAAACGGCATCAGATGCAATCATGCTGTATCTACCTCACCCTTTCTTTGGAGACCCTCTTCGCGGATCCGGAGGTCTGGAAGGTCGGATGACCTCTGGGCACTGAGGTTCAGTAAATTAACCGCAGCACAGACGCTCCAGTCCAGAGATGTTGCCAGGCACACAGGTTGGAACTAGTTTGCGTTTAGAGCAGCTGTTTCTGAATAGCTGAAGGAACCGTTTTGCTGTTTCAGCTGTAGGCAGCTTTAACTTGTCGAAAGCTTGTCAAGAGATGCGGTGGTTATAGAGTTTCCTCCGATGGCCAGTCCGGAGTTCTGCTCAAACTAACAGAATGCTGAATCTCACAGAATGCTGAACCACTAGGCAAGTGATCCTGTTTTAATTTTGTCATATTATGATTTACTTGGCCAGTCGGGGCGTGCCATGTTGAGGTGTTAACAAACAAGCCTCAGAACATCACGCCTTCTCAGGTACAGGATGCTCTGATTTGTGGGTAAGAAAATATCTATGTGCAGTGATGTTAACTTTAATTTATATCTTATGAACATTGTGTATGAGTGTAGATAATGATTCACTTGTTAATTCAATCATTACTGATCATAACATCAAAATGTTTCATTGTAATAATAAAATTCATTTCAACCACAGTAATTTAAGCACAGATTAATCAAAACATTTCATTAGTATTCATATCACATATGTTCATTCAACCATATTATTATTTAATGATTATTTAACTGATGAGTTGTAAAAGTTCCTGTTTCATGAGAGTGAGCAATCCTGTGGTCCTATCAAAAGAAGGCTCTGTTTAGGAACATAGGCTGACATCTTGTTCCCTCTGAAAGGTCAACAAGGTTTGCTGAATCTTGTGGCTTGTTGGAAGATAGAATGTAAAATCCACCTGAGAGGATGGAATTAGGTCTGTAGATGACCGGTGGCATGTAGGTCAATATGTAGGTGAAAACTGACCATTTCTAGACGTTACACCCAAATAGGCAAATATGGGAAGTAATAATATACTCATGATGAAATAATTAATATAAAATGGCAATAATTCGAGAAGTGGCTACTATAAACACAATATAGGTACTAATCAGAGGGGTTCCGTTCAGGCACAAACACAACACCGGGTCATGTGACTGCAGCAAAGTGACTGGAGTGGGCTTGTTGTTTATGAGTCCAACAGCAGAGGGGAAGAAACTGTTCTCGTGGTGAGAGGTTCTGGTCGAATGGATCTGAGCCTCCTGCCAGATGGGAGCGAGTCGAAGAGACTGTCCAGGGTGAGACGGGTCAGCTGTGATCCGACCTGCACGCCTCAATGACCTGGAGGTGTACAGGTCCTGTATGGAGGGGAGTTTGCAGCCAATGGCCTTCTCAGCAGAGCGTACAACACGCTGTAGCTTCTTTTTGTCCCTGATGGTAGCTCCAGTGTACCACACGGTGATGGAAGAGGTGAGGATGGACTCGATGACTGTGATGTAGAACTGCCTCATCGACTGTGGTGGCAGGTTGAATTTCTTCAGCTGCCTCAAGAAGTTCATCCTCTACTGGGCCTTGTTATGATGGAGGTCATGGTGGGATCCCACTTGAGGTCCTGGGTGATGGTGGTGCCCAGGAAGCAACATGAGTCCACCATCATGATGGGAGTGTCAGACAGTGTTATGGAGGGGAGGGGGGCTGTGTGCTTCCTAAAGTCCACAACAACCTCCGCTGTCTTCTGGGTGTTAGCACCAGGTTGTTGTGGCTGCACCAGGACACCAGCCGTTCCACCTCCATTCTGTAGGCAGACTCATCCCCATCAGAGATGAGTCTGATGTCGGTGGTGTCGTCTGCAAACTTGATAAGCTTGACAGACTCATGGTTGGAGGTGCAGCTGTTGGTGTACAAGGAGAAGATCAGAGGGGAGAGGACACAGCCCTGAGGGGAACCGGTGCTGGTCTGCAGGTCAGAGACATTCTTCTCCAGCCTCACTTGTTGCTTTATGTCTGTCAGGAAGTCAGTGATCCACCTGCAGATGGGTTCAGGCGCGTTCCTCTGGGACAATTTGACTTGGAGGAGGTCTGGGAGGACTGTGTTGAAGGCAGAGCTAAAGTCCACCAACAGGATCCTGGTGTAGATACCTGGGGAGTCCAGATGCTGCAGGATAAAGTGTAGAGCCGTGTTGATGGCCTCATCTACTGACCTGTTGGCTCTGTAGGCAAACTGCAGGGGGTCCAGGAGGGGGGCTGTGAGGGTCTAGAGGTGGAGGAGAACCAGGTGCTCAAATTACTTCATGACCACAGATGTCAGAGCCACAGGTCTGAAGTCACTGAGTCCAGTGATCCTTGGTTTCTTGGGGACAGGGACCATGGTGGAGGTCTTGAAGCAGGCGGGAGATGCCTCCAGTGAGGAGTTGAAAATGCCTGTAAACACTGGGGCTAGCTCTTCAGCACAGTGCTTTAGAGTAGCAGAAGATACACCATCAGAGCTGGGGTCTTTTAGCACATTTATGGTGTTTTTTCCAGGAACACTACTCGAGCAACTCAGACCAATGCAGCTTGACCTGACCATTGTTCCCAAGGACACAGTTCGGTATTTCCCCCTCTACTTTCTCCCCTATTTTTAGTCCCTGCTCCATTGAGGTACCTGGCAAGGCTGAGTCGGGTCGGCATCGTGATTCTGCCGAATGTCTAGGGGGCGGAGTCAAGAGGTTGCTCTGGAGTTTTTTGCTTTCTGTTTTACTGCTTGCAGCCATTTCCTGGTTCAGAGTCTGACAAAAGCCATAAAACTGGGCAAAATGTCCAGCAACACCACCATATTTAAGCTGAGTTGTGTTTTTGTGGAGCGTACAGGTTACCTTACACCGTTGATGTTAGTTTGACATGAGTTAAAAATCGCGTGGATCGAAAATCAGTGGAGTTAGGGCCAGCGGTTTCTTTTGCTGACATGCATCCTCTGTGTCAGCAAAGAAGGTAGAGCTAGGGAGGGGGTGGGGCCACACATAGCTTGGCAGGTGACCAAGCAGGCAGCCCGCCAGGCTTATAAAGTGCTGGGGAAAACCTTGGATTAGCAATAGCATTATTATCATGAGCCAATGGAATAAAAAAGCACAACTCACTACCAAGCAAAAACAAAACGACGGTCATTTAAAGCTTCTCCGGATCACTAAAACATTAACCAACCAGAAATAAATAGCTGTAGGCTTCCAGGCTTGTAAAAGGCTTTCATTTGGTTTGCAGTGTGATATGAGGAAGTCAGCTTCAGCGCTGGGTGAATCCTCCACAGTGTATGAAAAGTGCAACTTTTAAAACTATTCAATTCAATTCAACTTCATTTATAAAGCACCAAATCATGACAAGAGACATCTCAAGGACCTTCACACAGTAAACATTCCAATACATGTCAGTTCATTTAGCCAGTCAGTAAAAAGTTTCCTATATAAGTAACCTAGCAGGTTGCATCAAGTAACATTCAAGGACTCGGCCAACAGTCTTCATCCTCCAAAGGTCATCTGTGTACTAAAGGGCTGAGTGAGATAAAGTTACAACCATTGTATCTACAGGGGCATGGTGGCCCACAAGGCTATTCAGATGGCTATTGTAGTCCACCACTTCAGCTGATGAGAAGGTGGTGGAGAGGTGGTGAAGATTGGCTGCCAAGTGGTCAGAGTTAATGTTCTTCATTTGACAGAAAATGATATTTTGTCGATGGTTAGGAGGAATCTGAGGGGAAGGTTGGAGATACACGCACAGTTTGCTATGACCACATCCAAGGTGAGCCCTTTAGTGTGGGTAGGGACGTTAATGAGATGTTTAAGGTTAAAGCAGTCGAGTTTTTTAAAAAATTCAGCAGCAAACTGGGAGGAAGTGGTGTCAACATGGTTATCACCCATGGAAAATGTGCAAAAAGAGGAGGTTAGACGTCTCGGAGATAAAGGATGAAATTGATTTTGGTAGTCAGTAAATGAGGAGCAACAGAGGGGAGGGGGACTTGCATTTAAGGGCAAGGCATTTAAAAGAGGAAAGTTACAGTAGTGGAACTAGGGATAACTCCAAATCACAGCAATAAATGGCTAACAGCCTGCCATCACGGCCTTTCCCTCGGAACACACCAGGCGCGGAAGTGCAACAAAGCGCCGTGGAACGACGAGCTCTTCTACTTGGCGCCCTTATTAACTCTCTAATGACCTTCTGACCCACAGTGATGCAGGGGACTGTTCTGTTCTGGTCCTGCTGGACCTGACAGCAGCCTTTGACACTGTTGACCATCACCTGTTACTGGAGAGGCTGAGAGACTGGGTAGGCCTATCAGGATCTGCTCTGGTGGTTCTCCTCTTATCTTTCTGACTGCTCCTTTCCTGTGACCGTCTCCAAGTTTAGGTCCTCCACCACCTCCCTCACCCACGGTGTCCCACAAGGTTCTGTGATGGGGCCTCTACTCTTCCTCCTCTATCTGCTTCCTCTTCAGCACATCCTGATCTCCATTAAAGGAACCTTCCACCATCTTTACACAGATGACATCCAACGGTACATCTCCTTTAAGCCCCATGAGATGTCTAAGCTGCAGCTGTTACACACCTGCTTAGACTCTATTAAAACCTGGTTAGCTGGGAACTTTCTACAGCTAAATGAAGATGAGACTAAGATTCTCATCTGTTCCCTGGACAAGCTGGTTCCCAAAGTCAGAGACTCTCTTAGTCAGCTTTCATCTCACACCAAACCCTCTTTCAGGAATCTTGGTGTGACCTTTGACCCAGCAAAACCTCCCTGAACCGTCTACAGGTGGTTCAGAATGCCTGTGCTCGGCTTCTGACCAAGTCCTCCAAACACACCCACATCACCCCGCTTCTCCTCCAGCTTCACTGGCTGCCAGTCAACTTCAGGGTTCATTTCAAGATCCTGGTTCTGGTCTATAGGGCCTTACATGGACAAGCGCCATCTTACATTGGTGATCTTCTTAGTCCCTACACCCCCAGCAGGTCCCTGAGGTCCAGAGCCCAAAGCCTACTGGTTGTGCAGCACCAGGCTAAAGACCAAAGGTGACAGATCATTTGCTGCTGTGGCCCCCAGACTCTGGACCTCTCTCCCCCTGAGCCTGAGATCAGTGGACTCAGTGGTCTCCTTTAAACTCACCTGTTCAGGCTTTGGTGGGACCTTCATCACCTCCCTCTCCTTGTTCTGCTCTTGTTCCACCTTTTCCAGGATCCACTGATTTCCCTTTTTACCTGTTCATTTTCTCTCTCTCTTTCCTTACATTTTTTTAATTCACAAATTTATTTCTTATATTAAACATATTTTTAATAATTAATTTGAAATCTCTTTTTTACTTAAATTTTTTTGTTTTTGTGAAATGCCTCGTGATTTTTATCTTGAGAGGCGGATGGCTGCTTAAACTAATCCAGGATCCTCTGGAGGTTTCTTCCTGTTAAAAGGGAGTTTTCCTCTCCACTGTCACTTCATGCTTGCTTAGTATGGGGATTGCTGTAAAGATTCTGACACTAGTCAGTGACTCGATGCAACCTGCTGGGTTCCTTATATAGGAAACTTTTAGTGATTGGCTTAATGAACTGACCTGTATTGGAATGTTTACTGTGTGAAGTGCCTTGAGGCAACTCTTGTAGTTATTTGATGCTTTATAAATAGAAAAAAAAGAAAAAAGAAAGGAAAAAAGAGGCACTATATAATATATTTCTTTCTTTCTTTCTTTCTTTTTTCCATGAACTTGAGCCAATTTTAACTAATCCTGTGTACATCACAAGTCCTGCAAGAGATGCAGGACTTCTTATCTATCTTCTTTTAATAAAGCTGGTCTTCCCTGGGTCGTAAAACTTCATATCATATTATGTTGAATGAACAATATAAAGTGTTTTTAGGGTGTCTGTGACACAGGGGTTAAGGGCTTGCCCCGTAAACTGAAGGTTCCCATTGTGTCCTTGGGCAAGACACTTAACCCCCTTGTCTGCTGGTGGTGGTTGGAGGGACTGGTGGCACCAGTGCTCAGCAGTCTCGCCTCTGTCGGTGTGCCCCAGGGCAGCTGTGGCTACATCGTAGCTCATCCCCACCAGGGTGTGAATGTGTGTGTGAATGGGTGAATGATTGATTCTGTTGTAAAATGCATCGGGGGGTTCCAGGACTCTACCAACGACCAGCTCAGTGGTCTAGTGGTAGAGTGTCCGCCCAGAGACTGGGAGATCAGGGTTTGATGGGTCATACCAAAGACTTTGAAAAAATGGGACCCAATGCCTCCGTGCTTGACACTCAGTATTAAGTTAAAGTTAAAGTCCCATTAGTTGTCACACACACAGGTGTGTGTGCGAAATTTATTCTCCGCATTTGACCCATCCCCTGGGGGAGCGGTGAGCTGCAGACAAGCCGCGCTCGGGAACTATTTGGTGGTTTAACCCCCCAATCCAAACCCCTTAATGCTGAGTGTCAAGCAGGGAGGCATTGGGTCCCATTTTTTCAAAGTCTTTGGTATGACCCGACCAGGAGTCGAACCCTGATCTCCCAGTCTCAGGGCGGACACTCTACCACTAGGCCACTGAGAAAGGTAGAGGGTTGGATTGGGGGGTTAAACCATCAAATAGTTCCCGAGCGCGGCTTGTCTGCAGCTCACCGCTCCCCCAGGGGATGGGTCAAATGCGGAGAACAAATTTCGCACACACATCAGTGTCTGTGACAACTAATGGGACTTTAACTTTACCTTTAGAAGGCACTATATCAAATACAGGCCGTTTAATGTGTCCCATACTCTGAAATAATGAATGATGGGTTAACATGAATGTTGTTTCTGTATTGATTTATTTCATATCTTAAATTACACCAGATTAGTATTTGTTGATTTTAAGAATTTAATCTATAAGTATATTCAAACCTCATAATATTATTAATAATGTTTAACATTTTTTCTTCACACTAAGAATAACCTCTCTAAATATCTGGGTGAAGGAGTGATTGTCTGAGGTATTTTGGTAACGCCTTTAAACTTGTCAAATTCTGATTTGTCTAAATTTGTCAACAGTAGCTAATAAGAATATAGTTCACTTCCTGAACTAACAGTTCTCAGCAGACTCCCGGTTCGGCCGACCGGGTGAGCAAAGCATTTGGAACCATGCTCTCTTTGGACCTCAAGGTCAAAGCCTCTCTGCAAGGCTTGCGCGCGGTATCAGATGCTACAACACCTCAGACGTGGAACGTCTGACTAGCAGACCCTGGAAGCATCTTATGGCTGGTGATGTCTGAATCCAAAGGGAGATTCCAGTGGCCACTATGTCCAGTGACCTCACCACTCTGGCTGCCTTCCCTCCAGACCACCCAGAGCTTCCAACTCGGGTATCGCAGACCTGCACACTGGTGTCGGATGGTTTTATGAATAATTGATAGCTTGTTAAACCATACCGTCAGACTGATTTTACAACCCAGACATCACAAGTTATCTCAGATACTTTTTAAGGTTTTGCTACAAAATATCTAGCTTCCATTCCATTTTTTTCATTCGTTGTCCGTTATCTTGTCTACCATCATTCATCAAACCTTTTCACGTATAATCATTAGTTTAGAACGATGGAAATAAATTCATTTTTATAAACTATATTCTTGACTGTCTGAATTAATATGAAGTGTGTGTTCCCTGAATAGTCCAATGAACCTAAGTTAATATTAAATCAAATATTCAAAGACCAATCAGATTGGTAATTTGTATTTATATGGAATATCACATCTTGTTGATCATTTAGGAAACTCGTAGCAGCATCAATCACGCTGCACCACGGTGCTTTCATAAGCAAGTTTTTATAACACTGATGTGTGTTTTCTTTAACACAATAAAAAAAGCCTGCAGATGGATCATAAGTGTTCATTAACGTGTTTAATATAGAGATGTTTTAGGGGGCTAGATATATCGTTTTGAGTGTTGCTGCTTTTGCAGCTGAGCTCAAAACACCTGAGATGCTTTATTATGTTTCATTTTAATCACAGAACAACATGTGCTCTTTTCTGCCTTCAGGTGTCTTATTTTGAAATCTATCTGGACAAAATTCGAGACCTGCTGGATGGTGAGCTATCTGACTTTTGCTTTTTTAAAGTCTGAGTTATCAACTCTTCATCTGAGTTCATTTGTTCAGTATCAAAGACAAACCTGGCTGTTCATGAGGACAAGAACCGTGTTCCCTTCGTGAAGGTACTCTGTCTCTGTGTGATGTTGGCTTCAGGGTGAGGAACTACCTGGGCTTTGTTGATGTTTATTGAGTTTCCCTCAGGGTTGCACTGAACGGTTTGTGTCAAGTCCTGAAGAAGTGATGGACATCATCGATGAAGGAAAAGCAAATCGACATGTTGCAGTCACCAGTAAGTCCTTGCTCCTACTGAACTTTTTCTGCTGCTCCACTTGTCGGTGGGTTGGAAACAGAATATCCTTCGTTTTAACGTGACTGTCTGAACACATAGAAGCTTTGTGTGGGCAGTCCTCCCCGGACAGACCTGCAGTAATGCTGTCTGTGACCTCTGGGGGTGCTGTTGTGACTGCTCGAGTCCATGTGAATGATCTGGGTCCTTCACCTGTTGTGTTGCAGACATGAACGAGCACAGCTCTCGCAGTCACAGCATCTTCCTGATAAACATCAAACAGGAGAACATGGAGACAGAGACAAAACTGTCTGGAAAACTTTATCTGGTCGACCTTGCAGGCAGCGAGAAGGTGGCTCTGTTCTCTATCTTCTGTTACCTGTGTGTGGCTTACCGTTCACTTCCTTGTCTCACCTTTCCCTCTTCATTCCTTCCCTGTCCATCACCTTGTTTGTTTGTTTTCTGGTCCAGGTGAGTAAAACAGGAGCAGAAGGTTCTGTATTGGATGAAGCAAAGAACATCAACAAATCTCTGTCTGCTCTTGGGAATGTCATCGCTGCTCTGAGCGAAGGAACGGTATGTGTCCACTGTTGTGTTTGGGAAGACGAGTCCGTAGTTTGATGAGATATGCTGAGGGACATGTGCTGTATCAGGCTCTCTTCTTTTATATCTTTTTATTAAAACACGGACAATGAAGTTCCAGGACTTGGTTAAATACAAAACAGCACAAATAATGTATAAAGTAAGAAATAAATTAATGCCTGATAAAATACAGAAACTGTTCACAGAGAGAGAAGGAGGATATAACCTGAGAGGGACACTAAACTTAAAGATACATAAGTTTAGAACAACATTAAAACAGATGTGTATCACAATAATAGGGGTTAAATTATGGAACAATTTAGAAGAAGAAATCAAAGTAAGTACAAATATAAATGTGTTTAAAATTAATTATAAAAAACATATTCTGAACAAGTATATAGTGGAAAATAGATGTAAAAGTAAATTGTATCAATTGTAAAAAGATGTTTTTTTCCTTTTTTTGTTTTTTTTTCCATATAATTTGGTGGTTTTTTGGTGACTTGTACCATTTTGTTTGTTTTAATGTAGGTTTTGTGTTAGATTTAAGTAAACAAGTAAAAATGACTTGTATAAAGGGGTAGGGATATATAAGTTTCCACTTCAGCCTACTCCTTTTCAAACACAGATGGGATGATATGTATTTTTTCTGTTTGTGGTACTTTTTAAAAAATTATGTATGTTTTCTTTGTTTGAAATAAACTAAACTAAACAAATATCTGACCTTTCTAACCTCATCTTGAGCTATTACTGCTACCTACTGAGCAGAACATATCACTTATTCGTCATTTCCACTGTTGGAAAGCTTGTTGCCTCAGGTGAGATCTGGACTAAGAATCAGGATTGCAGTTTTAATCACTTAACTACAGGTGATGGAGCTTGGTCTGTTACCATAGTTAGTGATGCCAGGAGTCAGACCTGGTCTGAAGCAGGCTTGGTTCTATAGCTCTAACAACGCAGTGGTCGTATACGTTTTTATGAACTTTATGGAGTCTTCAGACTGGTTTCCTTATAAACTTCTAGCTGTTCATAGAGATGATGATAACTCCTGTAGTTTAACACAGATCAGATGATAAACTTGTGTTGACCAAAATGATTAGAGCATTTATGCCTGTGTTTGTAGAAAACCCATGTGCCCTACCGAGACAGCAAGATGACCAGGATACTACAGGACTCTCTGGGAGGAAATTGCCGAACCACCATTATTATTTGCTGTTCTCCATCCGTCTTCAATGAGGCTGAAACCAAGTCCACCCTCATGTTTGGACAAAGGTAGACTTCAGGAGGTCTCTTTTACAGACTACTGTCTCAGCAGCATCGAAACCCAGAAAAACCATTTGTTAGACTAATGGAGCTGCATTCATGTAACAGAACAGCAGTATCTGCTAAACGTATCTTCAGAGTATACATTTGGTAGTTTGACTTCTTTGGTAAATGAATTAAATTTGACAACGGGTAGGGGGTGGGGGGTGGGGGTGGGGGTGGGGGGGGTGGGGGGGTATTCCAGAGAGCAAGGTTTTCCGAAAACCAGACTTTCTGGTGAGAATCTCGGTGGAACCGCCCAAAATCATTTCTACAGATGTGGCTGGCCTGAAAGCCCTCCCGGTTACCATGGTAACACATACTGGAGAACAAACCTGCTCCGATGCAGGCAAGCAGCTGGGATTACTGACACTTTGTGAATATGACTGAACGAGGCAAGTGATGCCACCTATTTCTTGTTTCTGCGCCACTGTTGGCCCACAGTGGGAGCAGCAGCTGCAGCTTTGGTTTGATGGCTAAATTTGTAATAAATGTGGAGTTTAAACTTTTAAACATGAGCTCTAACTGGATTTACATCTTAATATTTGTTGTATTTAATCTTTATTTGCAGGCAGGAACATTTGATTCCACTGATGTCAGCATTATTAATAAGTATAATTATATATCAGCTTTAGTCTGGGAGGGGCCCATATCATTAACATGCTGTCCTCTTTATGCTAAAATAGCCTCAAACTAGCTTACAGCTGCTACCATAATACATGTAAAAGGAAGTACTTTATTGGTGTGACTATAGAAACACGCTAATATCTGATTTAAAATACATGAGTGATGTTTTTTTCCTCTTTGAGTAATATGAGAGCTAAATGGTTTACAGCGTTAACTTCAGGGTCATGTGACCACGAACATATGTTCTTACAACTCACAGCTGCGCTGCAAAAACAAAGTCCTCGAGTCTCTAAGCTTCCAGACTCTGGAGGAGAACATAAATGATGTAAACTTTAATAAAATAAGAGGAGAAACGGGCTGAAGTGGACTTCCGTTGTTGCCATGGAAACATGTAAACTATGCTTGTTCTAACTAAATAGCTCCAGCTACACAGGTTTAATCAAACAGCTCATGGTCTCTATTTTACTACTGATATCTCTGTAGTCCTCGTAGGCATGGATGAATAATTATTGCTCTGTCTGGATGAAGAACGAGGCTTTGTCCTTTACATACTTTCTCATTTATCTAGCATCCATTAACGGGGGCTGCCTCTGGACGCTCGTGAGCCTCGGTTGCTGATCCTCGCTTGGATTAGAAGGGATTGAATCCACCTGAGAATCGTTCATGGAGCTGGTGAAACTGGGAGGGGAGCAGGGATTTATCAGGAGATCCCTGATGTTCTAAACTGGCTTTCTGGAATACCCCCCAACATGTACCCTCTATGTTGTCACAATTTAAGTCCTTGTATAAGTCATACCCAGGCTTTTCCATGTTTGTGTTTCAGGGCTAAAACCATCAAGAACACGGTTTCTGTCAACTTAGAGCTCACTGCTGAGGAATGGAAGAAAAAGTATGAGAGGGAAAAAGAGAAGAACAGAAGTCAGAGCGTCGCCATCCAGAAGCTGGAGAATGAGCTGAAGCGCTGGAGGAAAGGTCAGAAACATCTGGTGGGAGACTGTGACTGCTTCACCAAGAAACAAAATATGGCCTTGTATCAGTATCGCAGTAAGATGAGCAGTTAGTTCACTTTGATAATCATAAATGGAGCGTAACTGCAGATTGACCAGTAGATGGGGCTGTGGCGGCAGCTCAACAGCCATTTTATTTTACATTACGATTTCCCTAGATCTGTTCATCACAATTATTAGAGTTTCTCGCAAAAAGGCAGGCAATGCCATTGTTTTGTATGGATTTTTCACTTTTTTGCTTTGACAAAAGTAATAATAATACATTTTATTTAAAAGCACCTTTCAAAACACCCGAGGTCACTTTACAAGAAAAAGCACAATAAAATTCTGTCAAATACCAGAATAAAACCAATCAAACAGTCATAAAAACAGATGAGTCTGGATTTGAAAAGGGTGAGGCAGTCAATGTTTCTGATGTCTGGGGGGAGTGCGCTCCAAAGACGGGGAGCAGAGCGGCTGAAAGCTCTGTCCCCCGTGGTGGTGAGGCGTGCAGAAGGGGCAACAAGGTGGAGAGAAGAGGATCTGAATGAGCCTGACGGGGTAGCAATATTAATGAGGTCTGTTAAGGAGGGAGGAGAAAGAGCATGTCTTGCTTTGAAGGTGTGGAGGAGGATCTTGAAGGTGGACCTAAATTTAACTGGAAGCCAGTGGAGCTGCTGAAGAACGGTGATGTAGAAAAAGTACTTGCAGATAGGGCTGTCAGTGAAGTTCTGTTTGTTTGGAGATGTGATGAAAGGCGTTTAAGCTAAATGCTAACAAAACACAAACTCTGGTTGTTGCCCCTGTTGGTTCTGTCCTCGAGATTAAGCAGTACCTGGGCGATTTGGGCCGATCTGTGAAGTTAAGCCTTAGAAATGTAGGAGTCATCTTTGACAGTGAAAGGTCTTTTGTGCAGCGCTGTGAGCAGCTAACGAGAAACTGCTTTTTTCAACTAAGGAACATCTCGAAGCTTAGACGTATGGTGTCAAGAAATGATTTGGAGCTCCTCATTCGTGCCTTTGTGTCATCCCGTGTAGACTATTGTAATAGTTTATTTTCTAGTCTGAACAAGAAGGAGCTCCATTGTCTGCAACTAGTACAGAACTCTGCTGCAGGAATCCTGACGCACACGAATAGGAGGTTTCACATTTCACCATCCTAAAGGAACTCCACTGGCTGCCTGTGTCTTTTAGGTTTAAGTTTAAGATTTTGGTTTTGGTTTTCAGAGCCCTGCATGGACAAGCTCCCATTGGAGAACTGATCCAACCCAACACCCCTATGTGGGTTCTGAGGAGTGGGGATCTTAATCTGCTTAAAGGTCCTCGCACTTGCTATCACACCAGAGGTGACCGTTCATTTGGGGATTGTACACACTCCGTTTTGCTTCAGAAAACAGTCAGGTTTATAAAAGTAAGAATTTATTTTACCAACAATTAAAACATGACAAGTTAACTAACATTTACTGTGATGGATGGAACTAGATGTGATGTATGAACCTATGTGTCAATGCGATGTTATCAGAACTTTCGTATCTAGGAGAGCGGAGTTCTGGATGTAAAAGAATTTGGTTTGTGTTAAGCTATGAAATTGATTATTATCAAAAGCACATCAGACGCTATCTGTGTGTCTACTTCACCCGTTCTCGGAGACCCTCTTGGTGGATCCGAAGGTCAGAGAGGTCAGATGACTTCTGGCACCGGAGGGCTGTAGAATACCGTGGCACCGACTCTTCAGTCCAGAGATGTCTCGGGTCACGACAGATGGAGGGAAAGCGCGTCTGGGACTCTTAAGGAGTCGGAACAGTATCAGCTTGATCTGCAGGAACCGTTTTCTGTATCAGCTTCGCAGGTGCAAAAAGATTTTGACGACGCGTCAAAAGCTTTGATGGTTAAAGAGGGTTTTGCTTCAGATGGCCGGTCTCAAGAACTGCTGAATCACCAGAGCGATCTGGTTTTAACGTTCTCATGTTTTGATTTGTGTAGCCAACCAGAGGTTGACAAGTTGAGGAATATTATCAAGACAACTCAGAAACATGCCTTCCTTGATACCGGATGCTCTGATCTGGGGTAAAGAGCTATTTATGTGTCACGAGTTTAACTTAACTTTACTTTGTCCTTGTGTGAGTGCAAGTGGTGATGACCATATCAACATGCTGAAACATATTTCAATCACTGTAATCATAACATAACATTCATTTCAAACTTCAATCATTGAGCACAGATTAATGAAAACATTTTATTATATTATAATTATTATAAGTAGTAATAAACAAACATTTATTTAATGATTATCTAGCTTATAAGTTTTAAAAGTTCATATTTAATTTAGGAAATCATTCTTTAATTTGGCAACTAATCTTGGCTGCGAGTGTTCACTTCTTCAAAAGCATGAAGAATCCTGTAGGACGATAAGGGAAGCTTGGACCTTCAGGAGAAAACATTTGGAATGTTTATTATGTGAAGTGCCTTGAGATGACTCTTGTCGTGATTTGGTGCTATATAAATAAAATTGAATTGAACATTATTGTTGACATTTCATTATCATGTGTTCAGAGCTGCAGAGAGGCTCTGAGCTCCAGCTGATGGGATGAAGGCAGGCCGATTTAAAGGGAACACGTGCAGTCTCGTGTCCCTTTTTTGACCAGATGTTGAATGGTCAAACTGTAGCTAAAAACTGATCATTGCTGGACGTTACAACCTTTTCCTTGACCATGAGATGTGTCGTTCCAAACGACTGTTTACGAAATGAGAAGCAACTCGTTGCAGCAGTTGGGCTAAATAACTTGTTGCAGCTGAAAGATAATCGCCCATGCAGTCATTATTTAATGAGAGGCTCCCACCTGTTTGCTTCGCTACATCCAGGTGGCGACTTTGTTTTTGTTCAGGCAGTGTAAGAAATGATGGAGTATAATTAGAAGGACAACAGATCTGTGACAATAACAAAATCAACCCATATTTTCCTATTGCACCACATGTCTATCGATAAATTTATATCATAATAAAGTTATCGTCCAGCTCTACTTGTCACAGCAATCTTTCTGCACAGGTTACGTTTAACTTTTTAAAAATCTTTTATCAACATTATCTTTGCTGAATCCAAAAAGTTGCAAGATGGCTGAAGCATTTTTTTTGGAGGGGAATGAGCTTCTCCTCCTCTTTGACCAGCCGTATCCTGGTTCAAAATTTGAATCATCCTCCATTTCCTCACCATCCCTTTATCCTCTTGTTACAGACCGGTTGGGGTGGACTCGACCCCATCCCAGTTTGTAGTATGGCATCATAAAGCAACTTGAACATTGCCAACCTACACATATCTTTTCATTTTAAAAAAAACATTTTCATATGTACAAAACATTACAACTAGCTTGAAACGGCAAAAAAAGAAGTGGGACAAGTTAAGACTTATTAAAGTTGCCTTAAATCAGGGCACATGTCAGATTGCAGATTGTAAAAGTCAATAAATTGAAACTTTATTGACCCAGTACGTACCTGTGAGGAGAGCAGAGACCGCAGGTGTTTCATCAGTGACTGAATTCTGCAGAACTGGTTCAGGTAAGAACTAATCACAGGAATATTTGGATATCCAAGCAGTCTGGTTCATCATCAAAGCCTGTCAGACTGCAGCAGCGTAAACAAGCTCTAACCCTGGGTTGGGGTTGCTTTTTGATGTGCCGGTCATTCTGTTTAATTTGTTTTATATGTTTTTGTAGTTAAATCAAACTTTCAGAGTTACAACTCTAAGCTTCACTCTGATCCTGACCTAGAACTGGGTAATAAAGCAAATTCCTGGTGTTTGGGTATCCAGGTGAGTCTGTACCTGTGGAAGAGCAGCTAAGCAGCAAAAATATTAAGAGCAACTCTGAAGCACCAGCTGTGACTGACAGCTTACCTCCACGCACTGTCCCTCTGTCAGAGGAGGAGAAGAGTCAGTATGAGATCCTCATCACTAACCTGTACCAGCAGCTGGATGACAAGGTGAGTTCAACTGATAAACTGTCTGGAGGTGATGAACGCACTAAATTCAGAACCTTATTTTACCGTGTCTTAGGATGATGAGATCAACCTTCAAAGTCAGACATCTGAGAAGCTCCACCAGCAGCTGGCTGAGCAAGATGAGGTCAGTTTTACCTCTCTGTGGATTTGGGTTGGGTCTAATTTATACTATACGATATGGAGACGTGCAACCTCGACATACCACTTCCATTAAAATTGACAACAGCACTGCCATTAGAAACTAAGATTGCTGAAGATATTTAGCTGCGGACTTGGAGAACGTCTCATCGAAGAACTCAGTTGATATTAACATTTATACAGCCATGACTGAAGGAAGAAAAAGATGTGCAGCAGATTTTTTTGTTTGTTGAAGGAAATTATAAAAAATGTGAGTTTGGAGGTAGCCGATAGCATGAAGAGGTGAAGAATAAAGAGAGAAATTTGTCAATGATAAAAACTCTGAAATACATAAAAAAAATCATGTACGCTAATACGCAGTAATGAATTTACTATTGTGGACCAGAGACGTGATGGTAATGCCAACAGAACCCGCCAGAACTGCACTACACTCTCTGTTGTCCTGGTGGGCAGCTGTTTCACAGCATTATCCCGGCAACAGAGAAGTCTGAAAGGAAAACATTTCTGGTAACCTGGCAGATCTGTGTGTGCAGCCCAGCCCTGTGTCCAGTCTACACACTTCCATCTGGAAACTCTGTCGGAAAGAGGGACGGCTATCTCGTAGAATATTTTGAGCTTGTGCCCGGCTGCACTGGCTACCATATTTTGTCTTTAGCCAATCACAGTAACAACTCAAATGACGTACACCATGTGCGCCTGGAAAACAACAACTATTCACTCAGGCTACATTCACTCGCTCACGCACCAATTACCATCTCTTCGGGTGATTTCTGCCAATTTTGCAAGAAGAAAATGCGCATAAAGGGCAGGGTTTCCCCCAGCGCTTTATAGGCCTGGCGGGCTGCGAGATTTCTTCTTGCAGCGCATGATTGCATTTGTGTAATGCTTGTATACAACACTATGCTTGAGCTGATGGAGTTTATAAACAATGTTTTATGGTCATTTGCTCTGTTGACACCTGCTGATCTGACCCTCAGCTGCTGGTGTCCAGCCGTCAGGATTATGGGCGGCTGCAGGAGGAGGTTTCCCGGCTGCAGAGGGACAACGACTTTGGCAAAGAGGAGGTGAAGGAAGTGCTTCAAGCACTGGAGGAGCTTGCTGTCAACTATGACCACAAGTGTCAGGAGGCAGAAAACAAAAGTCGCTGCAATGAGCAGCTCAATGAGGAGCTTGCACAAAAATCTGTGAGTTTGCTTTTACACCTTCTGTCTAAAAACAAGGTGTCCCCTCGGACCCCCCCCCCCCCCCCCCCCCCCCCCCCCCCATCCAACTGGTACAGGCCTGCTGCTTTGGTGGTTATATTGGACCATGTGAAGTTCACAACCTGTGGCCATAATAAAACATTTCTTTGTTCGATAGTATTCATGTAAGTATTCAAAACCAAACGGATAAAGGTTAAAGCTAGGGCTGGTTCAGATGGTCTGTACCCATTTCGCTGCTGTTTGACATGGCAGCAAGTGGGGTGTCAGAATGAAAATAATGGTGGTGTATTCCTCTGAGTGTGACTTTGGCTATGCTTATTAAATTAAGTTATTGTTAAGAGCAGTGCTTGAAGTGGGGAAAAAATAAGGTACTCACCTTTGAAAACTGTTGGATTACCCGAGGATAACCTGTAATATTAGAATGAACAAACGGATGTCAGTAGTTGGGCTAAAACAATGAATCAATAAAATGGATAAAAATTGATGACGAAATGCGTTGGCAAACTCTGCAAGCGAAAGAAAAGACCTCACCATCCTGTTTATTCTTAGCTGTCTGCAGCGCTATGCAGCAGAACCGCAGCTGTTAGGTTCGAGTCTGCTCGGCTAAACACTGCTGCAGGATTATGGCAAGCCACTGTAGCATGTAATTCACAAACGAGTCTATCTGTGAACATAATTTAAACTGGATTATTGCCAAACCCAACATAATAAATATGTCACCATTACATTTTTTGCAATAGAAATTAAATGTTATTAGCATTTCCAATAGCTCACTACTGAACATGTTAATGAAACACATACAGTTTTACTGATCATAGTTTAATTGATATTTAATCATGGATTTAGATGCTAGCATGCTGTTTTGCACAGTATTGAACTGTTTTCTAATCATGTTTTGTTGTTAAATAAAATAAGGGAAGGAGAGAAAACCTAGCTCTGGATAACCTAGCCTTTTAGATGGCGGCATGTTGGAGGCAGGGCAAGGGAGAGCCATCTTTACAGACTGTACACTCCACCTCCATCTACTCCCCCACTTGTCCAGATCTGGGCTAACATCAGATTTTAACCATAGGCCCTATCAAATAAAAATGTTTTAAGCCCGGTCTTAAAAGTAGACATGGTGTCTGCCTCACGGACTAAAGCTGGGAGTTGGCTCCACAAGAGAGGAGCCTGATAACTAAAAGATGTGCCTCCCATCCTATTTTTAGATATTCTGGGAACCACCAGTAAATCTGCAGTCTGAGAGTGAAGGGATCTGTTAGGACAACACATTCTCACACCCTAAGCGTCAAAAACAAACGCTTGGTCAGCCACCCTCCACGTCAGACCCCAGACGCCAAAAGTGCCCTTTTTCGTTACTTATGTGCAAAAAGGGGTTTTTCCCTTTTGTAACTGCAGATCCCAATGCAGCGTAAAACTGACGTGATGAGATATCCGCTGATGCGGCACAGAACCAGCTCATTTAACAGCACCTAAACCTTAACGTTTCACTATTTATAACCTTCCCCTCTCCCTCGTCCTAACCTTAACCCTCTTGCTACCTAAAACGTTACTCTCACTGTGATCAAGCGTTTGTTTCCCATGCATTCTGACTCTGACAGTCAGAGTCTGACTGTTAATTTTCGTATTTGCCGCCCAAGGGGAACGTTAGAACATACCATCTGGCGAGGGGGAGGTTACAAATACCCTCTACTTTTAACCTCCACCGTGGTAGTTGAAACCTCCCCCTCGCGTTGGCTCGGTCCAAACTTGACCAATGACGAGGCGGCTCCCGCCGTTCACTTCATAGAGCCGGCTTTTAGAGCGATTGACACATCACTAACGTGTTCGCTAGCAAGATGGTTAAGGTTAGGATAGGGGTGAGGGGAAGGTTAAATAAGAGGATAAGGTTAAGTTGAGGTACAATGAGCTTGTTTGGTGCCCTCGCTGCGGACATCCCATCGCGTCAGTGTAACGCTGCATTGGGATCTGCAGTCAAATAAGGGAAAAAACCCTTTTCGCACATAAGTAACGAAAAAGGGCACTTTTGGCGTCAGGGGTCTGATGTGGAGGGTGGCTGACCAAGCATTTGTTTTTGACGCGCTGGGAGTGAGAATGTGTGGGTTAGGAACATATGGAACAATCAGATCACTTATGTATGATGGAGCTTGATTATTAAGATCAAGGTTAACTTTATTTATATAGCACCTTTACTGTTGCTCACGCAACCCAAAGTGCTGAACAAAACAATGCCATGAAATCAAACATGCTCCAGTGAAACATTACAAATTATGGCGTTAAAAACAATGTATATGATCAAAACTATAAATAAAAGAATGAGCGTAAACAATAAGATACCATTTTAAAATAAAACAAGATACAATAAAACTACAACAAACCACAACTCAACTACCGCTGCAAGCTAAGGGAAATAAATCTGTTTTTAGTTTTTGACTTTAAATGCTCCGTGCTTTGAGTGGTCCTCAGTTCTAGGGGCAGACTGTTCCAGAACCTAAGGTCAGCCACTGAAAAAGCTCTATCCCCACAGGACTTTAAACAAGCTTTTGGGACCACTAATAATGACTGGGAACAGGACCTCAAATTTCTTGTGGGAGTGTAGATGGTGAGTAAATCATCAATGTAGGGTGGAGCAAGGCCAGAGAGATTTAAAAACAAAAAGCACTTTTTAAATTGGATCCTATACTGAATGGGAATCCAGTGAAGAGAAGCAAGCACTGGAGTTATATGATCATGCTTCTTTGTACCTGCCAGCAAACGAGCTGCTGCATTTTGGACCAACTGCAGACGATGTAAGGTGGAGTGTTCTAGGCCGTAATAGGGGGAGTTGCAGTAGTCCAGCCAACAAGAGAAACTAATGGATTACTTGTTCCAAAACTGTTGCTGGTAGATTTTTAAGCCTTGCCAGTTGTTTTAAGTGATGGAAGCCAGACTGGACCACAGCACACACCTGTCTATCAAATTTAAAGGAACCATCAATAAAGATCCCAAGGTTTTTTTTTATGTAGGGCTTCACAAATGCTAATAAGGAACCAAGAGGACTCATAGATCCAATTACAAGGCCTTGTGTCATGTTCTGTGGTACTCTTTTGACCCACGACATGCAGAATCAGAGGCGGAAACAGGGAGGTAAAAAAAATAAAATAAATTGTAGAATGGAGAAAAGGCGCTGCTCGAACTGATGCAGGAAGTACCAGGATGTTTTAAAGGAGAGAGAAAGGTCAGTATTCGTGAGAGATGATGAGGTGGATAACTGAAGGTTTTAGGCTTACTGTCGGGAGGTGGTTAGAGGGCGTGGGAAGGAGCACTGGTTGGTCTGTGAAGAAGGGTTGCAAAAGGGGTCTTGATGAAGACGAGGTCCAGAGGTTCTGCGTGGTGAGCTTAAAAGGGTCAGGCGGTAGGGGAGTGGTGGCGAGCAGACAGCCATGAGTTGGAGCTGTGTGAAGTGGAGCTAATGAGAGGTTCTCGGAGATGGCTGAAGGAGACGGTTCTAAAAACAAACCTTGAAGGGATAAGAGGAAGGATCATTCTTGGTCCTAGTCTCTTAGAAAACTACGCATGTCTGTACCGAGTACGCTCCTTTAGAGTACATGTGCGCATGTCTGTACCGAGTACGCTCCTTTAGAGTACATGTGCGCATGTCTGTACCGAGTACGCTCCTTTAGAGTACATGTGCGCATGTCTGTACCGAGTACGCTCCTTTAGAGTACATGTACGCATGTCTGTACCGAGTACGCTTCTTTAGAGTATATCTACACATGTCTGTACCGAGTACGCTCCTTTAGAGTATATGTACACATGTCTGTACCGAGTACGCTCCTTTAGAGTATATCTACACATGTCTGTACCGAGTACGCTCCTTTAGAGTATATCTACACATGTCTGTACCGAGTACGCTCCTTTAGAGTATATCTACACATGTCTGTACCGAGTACGCTCCTTTAGAGTATATGTACACATGTCTATATAAAGCTCAGACTCAAAACCAAACTCCATGGTCTTCAACTGCTGGGTACAGAGTTTATCAAAAGTCAAATATAAATGTTAAAGCAACAACTTTTCTGGTTTTAGGGTTTTAGTTTAGTTTTAATCAAGTCATATTTATTAAGGATTCATTTGGTTTTATTAGTTAAACTTAAATATGGGTTATAAACTGGTTTGAAGGATTTTGGGTGAATTTCTTGTAATGTCTTTTGGGTCCAGGTTGATCTTGAAGCAGTTCGGATGGAGCTGTCCAACCTGCAGGAGCTGAGCTCTCACCATAAGAAGAGGTCTGCAGATATTCTCAATCTGTTGCTTAGAGACGTCATTGAAATTGGCAACATTCTCGGCACCACAGAGCTCAAAGCTGTAAGAATAGTTGCTTCTGTTTTCATTTTACTGCATGACACGTCACTGAACATGCTATATGTCACACTTTATAGCAGTGGTACTCAATAGGCGGGAGCCCCCCCCCCCCCCCCCCCCCCCCCCATTACATTTATAGATTCATGCTTCAGTTAACACTTAGAAGGGAAATGCACTAAGAAAATATTTGCAGCTTTACAGTCTGTTTCCAGAGTTTTTCATCTCTGATCCCAGATGGCGGAGGTGAGCGGGATGATGGAGGAGGAGTTCATCACAGCTCGTCTGTACATTAATAAAATGAAGTCTGAAGTCAAATCTCTGGTGAACCGCCGCAAACAGCTGGAGGCCAACCTGATGGAGAGTGGCTGCAAGATGGAGGCCGCTACGAGGGAGCTGAGCACCTATCAGCTGCTAGTTTCACAGGTAAACAACACCTAGAACTAATCAACTGACTAAGCTTCAACAAAGAGTTCAACACAAACCTGACATCCCCAATAATTTATAAGATTTGTAACATAGATTGTACAAATATAAATTAATATAAAAGTTCTGATGATCAATTTCCAAAAGAGAGCAGCTTGTGTCTCCAGTAAACATCCAAGGAAATGAACATTAATATTGGAAGTGACTACAAGTTGCTGTGTGTTGACATTAACACACATTAATAAAATAAAATATATTTAAAAAAAAAGATAATACAAATAGGGAGAGAAAAAGTTGTGAAAACACAACAACCATTCTTCAATGTCATTTTCCCGTAGCTGAGTCCATTCTGTCCCGCTCTGAACTTGAGAAAGTTCTCCACACCTTCATCTCCTCACGCTTAGACTACTGTAACTCTCTTTTCACGTGTCTGAGCAGAACCTCTCTGAACCGTCTACAGGTGGTTCAGAATGCCTGGGGAGGAGAATAACACCGGATGCATGGATACTCACCTACGTAACTGTACAACAGACTGCTAATTTACTTGGTTACAGCCTTTAAGTCTGTATCTTCTCTGTGTTTGGCATGTAGTTGTAGTTTCTGCCACTAGATGGCAATCAGACTTCATCAATGCATGCTTAAATCACTGCTTGAGTCAAACTCAAACTCACACAGGGCCGAAATGAAACTCTGGGACGGAGTCGAGGGCCAAACTTAATATTTTTTTAAAAAGTGACGCAAATTTGCACATTTTCTTTATCATCATATATGCAATTTTGAACCTTTAAATTTGGAAACAAACATATTTCTGCATCAACACTGAATGTGGAATAACCAAATTACACACGAGCAAGTCCGTTTTAAATAAAAGGCATCAGTGGTATTCATTACTTGTGGTATAATCAGCATTTTATAAATCTATTCAGGATTTTTGTTTTCTTGTTTATTCATTTTTCTTATTTTTTATTCTCCTTTTTTCTCCTGTAATACGTGTCATCGCTGCTGTGACGTCTAGCTTTCCCCACTGAGGAACAATAAAGGGATTTTATATTCTATTCATCTATCTGCAGCCTTTCCACTTCCTGTTTACTGTAGGTTAAATCTTTTCTCACGGGCCAACAACAAAATAAAAATATCATTTTATCTTAAATGAAAATGCAACATCTCACCTGTTAACTTTCATGTTCTGGAGCAGAAAAAGAGCATAAAACCAACATATTTAAAGCTCAGTTTGCTCCGCTGGTTTACTGTGATGCTCACCTGTTCCAGCCAGATACCTGCATCATGGGGTTGATCTGAGCTGAGGAGGAGACTCCTGTTGTTTTGTTCATCTTCATCATAATAATGACAACATTAGATGACACCAGGTGCTCACATAGGTTTGTGCTGATGAACATGTCTGAGCAGCTTGACCACGTTGTTGTGTGTCGGGGAGGAAACACAACGACAGCAGCCACAGAGTCGTGCTGGTTTGAGCGTGTCGCTGCTCGCTGGAGTTATATCAGCTCTGTCTGGACGTTAGTTTGAAAACTTTCTCTTTCAGTCGTGAACACATTACCGAGTGGCTAGAATCTCCGTTTCTGGGCTTCAACGTCAGAAAATAGCTGAGTGAACTCGGCGCTGAGTGAGAGGAGTGTTTAGTTTGTCCGAGACAGCGGAGCTGCAGACACCGGCAGCAGGCGCTGGAAAAAACACAAAGGAGGGGGCGCATCGGTTCCACGCTGACGCCGCAAAGCATCATGGGAGTTGAAGTCTTTGCGGTAAAATCGGCCAGCGGGCCAGTTTTAATATATTTTTGATATTTATCTCGCGGGCCACATAAAAATGCTCCGCGGGCCGCATCTGACCTGCGGGCCTTGAGTCTGACATATGTGGCTTATACTAACCATGGTATTGTTTGGGTCTATTGGAAGTGAGTAACAATACTTATGCCTCATTTATGTTTATTATATGACTTATAGCTATATATATATATATATACTTGATCTGGCAGATTATTGTGGCCATTTGTGCGGTTTTCTGTACAGTTTGAGAAGCTAACTGCTAGCTACTGAGTGTTACTTGTTAGAGCTTTGTTTAGCTTTGACATATACGGTCAGTGGTTGGAGTCTTTATTGCCGTGTTCATTAGTTGTGTGCTGTACATTTTAGTTTGAGACAATTCTCAGCAGGTACAGCTATTTTTCAGGTGCATTTCAGTTTACTTCTTTGTAGCTTATTATAAGTTAGCTCTTAACTTTCGTGTTAGACATTAGTCACATGTCTATTGCCTTGTGAGTATTCTAATCTAATAAGAGTATTGTTTATTCTACGTAGGAAACCACAGGCCCACATTCACACACATAACTATCCCCAAACACCTCTTCAAGTTGGTCACTGTATGGAGGAATAATAGTGCCCACAGTTAGTTCATAATTTTTTGGTGCCTTCAGTTGATACATGTATGGAGGACTGCTAGTGCTTAATAAAGCTGATTGGAGGACATCCCACAATCAACAGGTCTTAACTTTCAGAACCCAATACTTGTTTTCCTCTCTGTGCTGTGCCAGCTTCTGACTCCTAACCCTACAAAACCAGACCAAACAGAATGTGTAAAACAATCCTTAAAATGAAAATGTCAGACACAATGGAAAATTCTGTATGTGGCACTAGACAGCTCAGCTAGCTTCACTTCCATCTTCGCCACTGTTGCAGAGCACACCTGAGGCCGGTGCTGATTGGCAATCAGCAGGAGGTCCTATATATGGCAAGGCAGCATTATTTGTATCGCACCTTACAACAGCAAAGTGCTTCACAGAAATTAAAAACATTTAAAACAATACCCAACATTAAAATACATAAAAACTAAAGCTTAAGAACTAGCATTAAAAGACTCATGCTGAGTTAAAAGCCAAATCATAAAAATAGGTTTCAAAAGACAAGATCCCCAATAAGTACAACACCCACATAAGCACAGACACTGGAGATGCAGGGGAAGACTGAAAGAAGAGGAGGAGAGTCTGATGGCTCTGAGACCTGGAATGAGCACTGGGAGTGCGTAGGTCAGACCAGGAGAGCCTAATAAAGAATGAAAACCTGCAAAACTGTGTGGTCTGAGTGGTGTGGTTGAGCCCGATGTAGCTGGTGCATTGCTACAGCTGCCTCTCCAGGATCAAGCCACTAGTGTCCCAAGCTCACCTGAAGACCATAGTCCATGCTTTTATTGCTTCTTATCTCGACTACCGAAACTACCTTTACTCTGGAGTAGGGCTGCACAATATATCGTAAATATATTGTTATCGCGATATCAGCATACACAATAAGCATATCGCAAAGAACAGATAAATATCGCATTGAATGTTCAGCTCAAATGTTTGCTACACATAATGCATTCTGTCAATCAAATGAAAGCATTATGTTTTTTTAACAAATCAAATAGAGCTCTTCGCCCATTTGGCCAATTAGGTGGGTTCTCATAGGTCAGAGGCCCGCCCCCGAGGCGGGCGGCACTTCATTTTGATGGTTAGCATACACCTGATTTAGCTTTGGTCTGCTCTTTTAGCTGATTCTGCTTTTCCCGGGAGCCACTGATTTTCTTTTCTTGTTCATTTCCTTTTTCCCTTTCTTCACATCTTTAGCTTTTCTCATTTTTATAATTTTTTTATTTCTTTGTTTTTGATTAATTTTGTTCCTGAGTTAAGTTTCTATTTATCGTAAGTAATATCGTCATCGCAATATTAATCATTATCGAATATCGCAGGTTTTCCTAATATCGTGCAGCGCTACTTTGGAGTTAGCAAGGCTGCACTTGCTTGACTCCAGCTTGCATAAAATGCTGCTGCTAGATTCCTGAGCGGCACCAGAAAGCGGGAACACATCACGCCTGTTTTAGCCAATCTGCACTGGTTTACAGTATCTTTCAGAGTCAGATTCTAGATACTTGATTTGATTTTTAAGTCTCTGCAGGGCTGTGCTCCTAGCTATCTGTCCGAGTTACTCACTCGATACAACCCGTCACTGATCGAAGGTCATCACAGCAATACTTACTCGTCGTTCCATGAGTAAAGTGCTCGACTAGAGGAGGCAGGGCTTTCTCAGTTTTGGCCCCCGAGCTGTGGAATGATCTTCCACTCGAGGTCAGACAATTGCTGTCAGTGATGGTTTTTAAGAGTAAGATGAAGTGATGATTTAAAGTTTTTCCTACTGGCAAGTGGAAAGTGCAGTCATTAACATTTGATTCATTTGTTGCCATCAGTTTGAAAAGAACATTTCAAATAGAGCTAAAAATGCTTCTGAAAAATATCACACACTGCACCTTTAAGTTTCATACTGTTGTCTAATGCTGTTGGTGTTTTACAGCCAGGATGTTTCATGGTTATTTTAACATTTCTCATTTTTATTGTGCAGCTCCAGGCCAAGTTAGAATCACTGACTAATGATCTGCAGAAATTGGAGCAGAAAAAGAGGCAGTTGGAGGAAAGTCATGATGCTCTGACGGAGGAGATTGCCAAACTCCATGCTCAAGGTGGGTTACAATTGCAACGGTTCCAGAAAACCCCTGGCCTGTGATTGGCTGACAGATTAGTTGCTGAACCAAGCAAAGCAGGTGAAAATTATTCTGACTGATGGTGTGCATAATTTCAGGTCAGATGCACGAGCTGACAGTGATGGACAAAGAAAAGGAACACATGAGCAGACTGAAGGATGCAGTGGAGATGAAGGTAAACACATCCAACCCTATACAGCAGTGGTTCCCAAACTTATTTAGCCGCGCACCCCCTTCTATGTCCCGACCATGTCGACGCACCCCCCCCCCCCCACATCGGGGCATGGCTCTCTCTCTCTCTCTCTCTCTCTCTCTCTCTCTCTCTATATATATATATATATATATATATATATATATATATATATATATATATATATCAGATGTCAAGCTAAACAGAGAGGGTTAAAAAAAATTCCCCAACACTTTCATTTTTTAAATAGTAATTAATAAGCATTCGATACCATTACAATTTCCTTTGATTTAATTTTAAATAAATATTTAGAGTGCCCAGGTAGTACATTAAAAAATGCAATTTAACGGTTTTCTTAAAGTGGGAACGTTTAACCTGTGCGGCCAGAGCACTCTCCTTCCTTCTGCTCTGCGTAAACCTGAGCTGATCACCTACTTGTGCGTAATCAAATGTCAATAGGGGACAAGATATAGCCATGATGTTCACTTTTACCTCAGACCGACTTATTGCTGTTTTATGGTGTGGCTGAATCTGCGATCCGCTGCCACGCTGACTGGAATAGCAAATGCTGCAGTAACAGGACTTGTGTTCAGGTTCATGAGGAGTCACTGGCTGGAGCGGACCGACTCATCCCAGAAGCTAATATCTTAATTTGACATTGAATGAAAAATAACCTCTTAAAAGTTTTTATCACGGTGGAGGCAGCGTTCATTTCTGCCTTCAGTCCGACGGCGCGCCTGAGTTAAAGCAGCATGTGCGCTTATTGAATCTGTGTGTGTGTGTGCGCGCGCGCGCGCGGCACAGCCGCTCAAGTCACCGCGTCTCGCGCTATTTAAACCAATGTTGTAAAATTCCTTCTGCCCACCCCAGATGTGCTCACTTGTGCACCCGTGAGCCGCGGTTCCGCTGGAACACATCTGACCTCTGACAGACGCACTCTGAACTTCAGATCTTCAGCGCGCTGTTAATAGCCTGAATGGGAATCATTTCTTGATTTATTTAGTTACATCCACAATGTTCTGTGTGTGAGGTTTACAATGTCAGAACACCTGCATGAGACAGGTGTTAATTACAATCTGCCAGAATGACTCGCCACCTTCAGATTCCTCCAACACCGTTAAAAATGATCAAATACGGAACCAGAGGTGGAAAGTAACAAATTACATTTACTCACGTTACTGTAATTGAGTAGCTTTTTTGTAAATTTATACTTTTTAAGTCGTTTTTAAAATCCGTACTTTTACTTTTACTTGAGTAAGTTTTTAAAAAAGAATTGTAATTCGCTACATTTTAAATCATATCCGTTACTGAGTAAAAATAAATTGTAGGCTTAATACATTAAAAATATTACGTGTAGCAGCGTCGGAACAGAAAGAGACCCCTGCATGAGCGCCACGTCTAATCCGGGGGGGCTACACGCTTTATGATGAGGACAAACAGCCATTTTTACCGCAGTTTTGCTCAAAAACATCAGTTCAGTCCCTGTGATCCACTCGCTGTTTACCTCCTCTCTCCCTCCTCTCCTGTGGGTTGGAACCCGCACCTTCGCGCACCGGTGTGACGTCATCAGAATTCTGCTCGGTTCGGCAACCGGACTCGGTTCCGTGTTTGAAATGTGTTTCCTTACCGCGCACAGAAGCGGCAAAATTACGTTTAGCGCTCCTAAGAAGCGGATTATCAGCGCTCTGCTCATAAAACAGAAGACCTGCAGGCCTCTGTGAGTTAAAACATCCTGATACTGTTCAGGTGTAAACATTGTGCTCCATCCCTGTGTTTGAACTCAGAAGTTGCTTCTTGATGCCACAGATATGTGATGATTTAGCTTGTTTCTTTTTTTTTTACTCCAGAATAAGAGATTAAATTATTACAAAAGCAGTTCAGTGTAGTTAAATTAGTCATTCAAATGATTCTAACATGCTGCTGTGTGTGCGTGTGTGCGTGTGTGTGTGTGTGTGTGTGTGTATGTGTGTGTGTGTATGTGTGTGTGGGACTGCATAAGACAGCATGGTTTCATCAAATCCATGCATCCTATATCTTGGCTGAAGTAATGGCTCAGGAAAATAACTTATATTTCATAAATAATGACGTCTCTGCAGTGTCTATGATAATGTTTTATCTTATATTGGACCTATCTTTGGTCTGGGAGGTGTAACATATCATGATACAAGCCTTTTAAAACATGTTAAAGTGTTACAAGAGGAGATAAATGCATGAATTTAAAGTTCATGTTTGGAGACCAACCTTCACAGTTTGGAGGCTCACGCTGGTGAGGAGACACCATTAGTTCTAGTAACACCTGGGCTCCCACGGCCTGTTCTGACAGGATGGACGTTACGGGACCCTTAAGGATTCCAGTTGGATGATTGGAGGATTATTTAGGAGGATTGGGATGAACAAACTGGTTTCAGTGGTGAAGGGTTAAAGGTATTGGCTCGGCATTAAAATTGTAGAAATGCAAAATAACTACACTTTATTATCTATATAAACATATACTGGGTCCAGTTATTTATTTTGTTAAGGACTTTTGTCATAAATCATTACAGAAAATCCAAATTCTCTCCTCCAGACAGTGAAGAACTGTGTTTCGCGTACGTCACTCCAGCACGTAAAACAAGCTAGCTGCTGATGCTAATATTGTGAATCACTGTTATTTGTTTACTTTCATGCTCCTAATTATTACGTAAAATTGCGTTTATAGCTGCAGCAAAAGGTCTGAGCCATGTGTCCGTGTCCTACACGCATTTTTAAATAACAGGTCTGATCTAAAATAATAACCTACATCTATAAATCCATCTAGAGCCGCACCGCTACTTCTGGACTCCAGACGAGTCCCGTTAGCATGACTGCAGCAAAACTGCTAACTGTGTTAGCTCCGGTAAGGAAAGAACAAGTCCTTTGGGAAAACTACGACACACACACACACGCACGCACGCACGCACTCACACACACACACACACACACACACACACACACACACACACACACACACACACACACACACACACACACACACACACACACACACAAATATAATCTAAAAGATGATCTCTATATTTCAACATTAGAACCTCCATGACATCCTGGATTAGTGCAAACAACGAGTTTAGCTAAGGAGTTACTCCAGCATCAGGAAGATTTATTCTGGTAAATTGTCGGTTAAATATTTTCCAGAGTTATATCAATAAATACACACAGCAGTAAAACTGTAGCTTACTGAACTATATTGGGACACATGATGGAGCTAAGACCAGCTTAGAGCTCCCAGTGGAGCACAGAAATGAAATATTTAAGAAAAGTAAACAAACTGTACCGATTTTGGTTCTGAAGATTAACAGAATCCTCCTCTATGTCCAAATCAGGTCGCAGGTCTTCTGAGTCAAACGGTCTAAAACATGTCTGCACCTCTGGTAGTGATATCCAGCTGGCGGGGTCGAAGTTCTGTTGAACTTCTCCAGTAATCTAACATCCGTTCTCGTCGCCGTATCCCAGAGAAAAAACAAATCTGATGGACTAGTAGAGGCTTCAGAAGCTACATCTGATTGATCACACAATGTTCTCTGCTATAACGCAAATGCAGAAACAGCGGAGCCAGGCTTTGTTTACTACAGCTGTTTCAGCAGAGCTCCATGTGAAACGTCAACTGCTGCCCAGGGCTTAGACCGGAAGTTAGTTTCTGTTTTTCCTGCGCCAGTCACAAACATCAGATTTTCTTACAATTCCAGCCGTCAAAATCCAAAAACCGTTTTCATCTGAGATTTTAATACACATTTACACATGCTGTTCAAACAAATTTTGCCTCTGGCCGATATCTTTAAATGAGTGAGTGAACCCACTACCAAAGATGAACTCTGCTAACTTTAAAAATCAGCTGCTCTAAATAAGCATTCAGGGGAAAGTCATGGGCTTGTGACTATAACCTAATTTATGTTACTAGTTTGCAGTGTAACTGCCTTTGTACTTCAATATGCATATTTGTTCATTTAATTAAAAAAACGGCCACTTTGACATTTATACCCCATTGTCTTTTTTAACTATTCAGAAGAGCCCGTCCTTGCACAGTCAAAAAAGTAACTAAGTAACTTTTACTCTGACTACATTTGAAATAAGCTACTTTTTACTTTTACTTGAGTACATTTTGAGGCAGGTAATTTTACTTGTAATTGAGTAAAATTTCATGAAAGTAATTATACTTGTACTTAAGTACAACATTTTAGTACTCTTTCCACCTCTGTACGGAACATATCGGCATGCGCGGGCCAGAGTGCTGAAGCTCGGCGCATTGTTATTATGAAACTAGGGCACATGCGGAGGACACGCGCGCGACGGAACATATCGGCGTGCGCAGGCCAGAGTGCTGAAGCTCGGCGCATTGTTATTATGAAGCTAGGGCACATGTGGAGGACACGCGCATGCGCGCGCGCAAAAAACTTGTTTTCAATTACATTTATTGTGCCCACTTACTTTTTCTTTGGCCCACCCACAAATGAGTTTCTACGCTAATGGTGACATATGACAGACTTCTCTGAGCTCCGCAGCCATTACACTTTTCACCTCGCGCACCACACTTTGGGAATCCCTGCGAATGCAGATGGCTTTTCTGGTTTTCTTTATTTTCAGCTTGTTCTGCTGACTGAAGAGCAAAAGTTCACATTCAGACATAAACTCCATCACCTAATACAAACTCTTAGAAACCTCAGGTCACTTTTGTAACCCTGGCTCTCTGAGGAACACACCATACCTGCCGTCTTTATTTTTAACACATTTAAAAATAGCATGGCAGCTAACCAAAGTGCTGTAGGCTGGGATAGAACAAAAACATTTCCTAATGAGACAAATATCAAAAACAGTTAAAAAATACAGCATGACAAGAGAAAAATAACTATGACTATACAAGAATAAGACATAATACAGTTCTGCTTGAAAGTACAGGTCCTTCTAAAAAATTACCATATTGTGATAAAGTTCATTATTGTCTGTAATGTACT